TTCACTCAATTACTGTATATTATTACTATTATAATAATGGGCTTCCTTAACTGACAAATGGATTTGTCAGTTAAAAATAGGAGAGGAGAGTTATTAAATGGAGAGTTAGAGGTATTGGGAAGATGGAGGGAATATTTTGAGGAATTGTTAAATGTTGATGAAGATAGGGAAGCTGTGATTTCGTGTATAGGGCAAGGAGGAATAACATCTTGTAGGAGTGAGGAAGAGCCAGTTGTGAGTGTGGGGGAAGTTCGTGAGGCAGTAGGTAAAATGAAAGAGGGTAAGGCAGCCGTGATTGATGGATAAAGATAGAAATGTTAAAAGCGGTTTGTGGATATAGTTTGGAGTGGTTGGTGCAATTCTTTAATAAATGGTATGGAAAGGGTAAGGTACCTAGGATTGCAGAGAGCATGCATAGTACCTTTGTATAAAGGCATAGGAACAAAAGAGAGTGCAAAAATTAAAGGGGGATAAGTTTGTTGAGTATACTGTAAGTGTATGTAGAGTAATTATTGAAGAATTAGAGTAAGAAGAGAATAGGATAGCAGATGAACAAAGGAGCTTTAGAAAGGGGGGGTGTGGTGGACCAGTGTTTACAGTGAACACAAAAGTGAACAGTATTTTAGATAAGGCTAAAGAGGTCTTTGTGGCATTTATGGATTTGGAAAAGGCATATGACAGGGTGGATAGGGGGGCAGTGTGGCAGATGTTGCAGGTGTATGGTGTAGGAGGTAGGTTACTGAAAGCAGTGAAGAGTTTTTACGAGGATAGTGAGGCCAGTTAGAGTATGTAGGAAAGAGGGAAATTATTTCCCAGTAAAATTAGGCCTTAGACAAGGATGTGTGATGTCACCGTGGTTGTTTAATATATTTATAGATGGGTTAGTAAGAGAAGTAAATGCAAGGGTCTTGGCAAGAGGCGTGGAGTTAAAAGATAAAGAATCACACAAAGTGGAGTTGTCACAGTTGCTCTTTGCTGATGACACTGTGCTCTTGGGAGATTCTGAAGAGAAGTTGCAGAGATTGGTGGATGAATTTGGTAGGGTATGCAAAAGAAGAAAATTAAAAGTGAATACAGGAAAGAGTAAGGTTATGAGGATAACAAAAAGATTAGGTGATGAAAGATTGGACATCAGATTGGAGGGAGAGAGTATGGAGGAGGTGAATGTATTCAGATATTTGGGAGTGGACGTGTCAGCGGATGGGTCTATGAAAGATGAGGTGAATCATAGAATTGATGAGGGAAAAAGGGTGAGTGGTGCACTTAGGAGTCTGTGGAGACCAAGAACTTTGTCCTTGGAGGCAAAGAGGGGAATGTATGAGAGTATAGTTTTACCAACGCTCTTATATGGGTGTGAAGCATGGGTGATGAATGTTGCAGCGAGGAGAAGGCTGGAGGCAGTGGAGATGTTATGTCTGAGGGCAATGTGTGGTGTGAATACTGTATAATGCAGAGAATTCGTAGTTTGGAAGTTAGGAGGAGGTGCGGGATTACCAAAACTGTTGTCCAGAGGGCTGTGGAAGGGTTGTTGAGGTGGTTCGACATGTAGAGAGAATGGAGCGAAACAGAATGACTTCAAGAGTGTATCAGTCTGTAGTGGAAGGAAGGCGGGGTAGGGGTCGGCCTAGGAAAGGTTGGAGGGAGGGGGTAAAGGAGGTTTTGTGTGCGAGGGGCTTGGACTTCCAGCAGGCATGCGTGAGCGTGTTTGATAGGAGTGAATGGAGACAAATGGTTTTTAATACTTGACATGCTGTTGGAGTGTGAGCAAAGTAACATTTATGAAGGGGTTCAGGGAAACCGGCAGGCCAGATTCAAGTCCTGGAGATGGGAAGTACGGTGCCTGCACTCTGAAGGAGGGGTGTTAATGTTGCAGTTTAAAAACTGTAGTGTAAAGCACCCTTCTGGCAAGACAGTGATGGAGTGAATGATGGTGAAAGTTTTTCTTTTTCGGGCCACCCTGCCTTGGTGGGAATAGGCCAGTGTGATAATAATAATAATAATGGGGAAGCACTAATTTTATATGGGTCATACAATACCTGAGAAACTGGAGATATTCAGATTTGATGAGGAAGGGATAGCTCCAGTTCCATAGATCAAGAGCCCTTCACCAGCATCAATGCATGTAAACATCTGGTTTGTAAACTTTCCCCTTGTCCCATGCTAAATGCATTATCTCCTAAACCCACTAATAATGTGAAAAATCTTGTAAATAAGAAATATTGTATAGATAAAGTACAAAAGTTTATAATGTTACACCATTTGTCAACTAGATATTGAACTTCCATTTTATCAAACTAAAACATTTCATAATCTGGTTCATTAATCTCCTGCTACTGATACTTCCACTACATACTCCACTGCCTGCTCCTATGGCCTTTTCCAATAGTGGCGAAACTGGCCACCAACTTTTTGAACTGCCCATTTTCTAGCCTTCACAGATGCTGCCTTATTGACTGAGCCCTTATACACAGTCCTAATATGAATTGTAGCCTTCATTTGTTCCTGTTGTTGCCTACCTTTCTCGGTGCACTGTCCAAATGGGCGGAGACAGCCCTTCCTATCTCAAACCCCCCTCATCAGAATCAAATTTCCTTGATGCTGGCGAGGGGTTTCTGATCCAAAGAATTAGACCTGGCCTTCCCCCCCTTGATCGAACCTGAATGCCTCTCATTTCCCCAAGCGTTGTATGACCCTTGTGGGTTTAATGTTCCCGCCCATAAATATAATACTTTACTCACCACCTAATCTATTTCTGGAATTTTCATACCTTACCTGTTGTCTTTCTACTCAGCTTTGCAACTGACTGGTCATCTGGCTTTTCCCAACTTTATTGCAACTTGATAATTGTCCAGGATGGACCAAAATGTCATCATAACTTTTTTCTCTGAAATGTGGATTTGTTCCACCCATGGTATTGCACCTTTAATTCTACAATTCTCCATATGAGCCTTTACCCACTGATGACAAAAAAAAATTAAAATGTAAGTTGGCTTTTATTAGCAAAATTGTTTTACAGCAGTGAAGGAATAAGATTATTTTATCAACAAACAATAAAAGCTGCTGCAGTAACCATAGACATCAAGTGCATCGATGGACTTTTATCACACCCGCAATCAAGTGCAAAATGCTTCACGTTCGGTTGTACTTCTTTTACAAAACCCATTCAAAAAATTTCCCCATCTAAAAAATTAATTCACGGATGGAAATAACCCGGCCTTGGAATGAAAAAAATTTATGTAAATTTCACAAGAATGAAAAGAACCCCTATGGGTCTTCATTTTTGTATTTTCAATGGACAAAGAAAAATGCTAACTTTTCAACGATCCAAAAGCAATTAAAAGAAAACAGACTAGCCAAGGTTTGAGCTCCCTTACCCCAAAAATAGCAAATTTATCCTCACAATATTATTTTACCTCCGAGCCTTTCTCTGGATGATTTTGAGATTACAATAAAGTGGACGTAATGCGAAAATGACTGCAGCAAAAATTAAAAAAAAAAATAAATGTAAAATGTTGCCCAGAATTTATATGACCTTCTCTACCGGTATATGAAAAAATTTTAAAAATTAGACAGAATATTGCAGCTTTTTAAATTTTCTCCCAAAAAACAAAAAAAGACTACAGAGGAAGATTAAATTTACTTCTAATTTAGTACTTACTACATAGAAACTCCCCCAAAAGGGTACACAAAGGGGGAAGACAAATTTTCAAAGTAGGGAAATCCGCGGCTGTTCTGATGGCAAAAATTGCAACTCAAGATGATGAAAAAAGACATTCATCTTTAAAAAATATGAGTGAAAATCCTAAATTAAAAAAGGCCCCTAATAAAATGCACTACACCAAAAAAAATTGCATTTCCCTTTTCCCCCATTCTATTTAGATAATTTTTAAATCCCCTCCATACTATTTTGGAACTACGTTCAAATTACTCACATAGGGGGATTACTGCCTTTCTTTATATTAATAATTTTTGGGTAAAAAGTGCATTATCTCTTTTCCCTTTTAAATTGTGTAATTTTGGGATTAATTCATAGAAATCAGTAATAGACACAACACTTTTTCTTTAACAATGGAAAAAAAAATTAAAATGCCTGAAAAAAAAACTGAACAGTTCTTTAAAAAGCCAAAACACAGTACCCTAACCCCTCCATATTATTATTAAAATAAAAAAGAAGCGAAAGCCAAAAGGGGCTAACAGCGCTGCAGGGTAGGAAGGAAGGGGGTATTGGGCGCAGAAGGGGAAGGGAGATCAGTAGGGACAAAAAACAGGGGGGCGGGGGAACAGTGGGGGGGGTAGAGGGTACAAGATTGGGGTGGGAAAGGGGCTGAAGGTATCAGAGTTGTGAATAAAAGTCATTTTTTTTTCAAAAAGTAAATGAGGACCCCGGAGGGGAAAGGGGGGGCCTCAGCAAAAAGGGGAAGGTAAAGAGAGAGCAGCGGGCGAAGCAAGACGGAGGAAAATTCTGGTGCTCTTTGATAAAGTGGGCAGTCAAACGAATAAACCCCTCCATAATACCCAGAAAAGCTTTCCCATCCTATAATATGAAAGGAAAGGTTAAAACGAAATAAAACTAGCAAAAAAAAACCTATAAAAAGCAGGTATTAATTTCTATACAAAAAAACCAACTTTAATTACAAAATTGCCAAAATTTCAAATCAACCTCAATGTAATATTGCTATTAAGGGAATTTTTTCTCGTTTTAAGAACAATAATATTTTTGATGAGAGGGGGTTTTTATTAACATTCAAACATATAATAGGAAATTTTTCTAAGTTCACCACTAAAAAAAAATTTTTGGGGGTACTGTATGTCAGTTTGCCTCATTATTATTTTCACTTTCAAATCCCCCAAACTTCAGGCTTATATAATGTAGATAATTTTTAAAAAGAAGCAAAAATTTTCTTTATCTTTGGAAATGGTAAATTCGGGAAAATTTCTTATTGCTTCATATTTTAGGTCAGACACTTTTAAAAATAATATTTTTTAAAATGCTTTAACAAATTATAAATATTAAATAATTAACTTACATAAATTTATGTAATGATTTTACCAAAAATAAATTTATACTTTGATATGCAAAAAACAGAATGCTTACTTTGACATATTGCCCAACTTAATTAATATTAAAATGTTATAATAAATAATACTAGTGAAATAACTACACTTCTCCCATATTATAGGTATACTGATAATGCTGAAAAATCAACTAATAGTTACAACATCATTCAGACAATTTTGTTTTAAATATAATTTATACAATTACTCAAACTTCAATATGCTTAAATGACATAAATTATTCTTCACTTAATGTTATTACCTTACAAAAGTTGTTTCTACTAGTTAACACTTTTAATTTATTAATAAACAACTATTTTACCCTCTGGGACCTTCCAGAAATAATAAGAATAAAACAAAAGGAGAAACTGAGTTTTGAGAAGGCAAGCAGATGCAAAATCCTACAAGATCTCCATCAATCTTTCTCACTGAACAATATTTTTCTCATCACAAAGTATATCAGAGATGAGAAACCAAATCAATAATTTCCTCTCAACTTTTTACTTTTTCAAAAAACATACATGTCAATGCATACAGTACTATTAGACTATTATAATACATATATATTTTGCTGTTTGAATTAAGGCATACAGCAATCAATAAATGATTAACAATGAACTACTGTATTGGCTTTAAAAAAAATATCCCAAAATAAAAATACTGTATCATTCTTTTCACTTCATAACCAATTAATTCTGACAATATAATTATCTGCTGCTGTTCAAAATTTCTGGACTTACAATAAGCACAATATAGAATCAAAACTTTTTGTCATGAAATTCTCTAATTTGCAACTCTGGACATTCTGGTAAATTACCACAATCACCACATCTATGAGGAGAAAAAAAAAGGTTATTCAACCACAGACGAGACTGCAAGAAGCAGACAAGGATATAAAAAAAAGCAAAGATGCAAGTAACAAAATAGGCTGAAAGGAACAGCTGTGCTTCCCTCATTTAAAGTTGGTTTCTGTACAATTACTAGACTCACAGATTTGCTGTGCACTTTCATATGTATATATATAGAAGATCCCAACTTCTAAATGAGTTGTCATTGGATTTTCAATGAGTTACTTGTACAGAATGTAGTAATGCAAAGAGTGGATGCTTCACACATGTTCATACTCTGGCCTTGCATCATTATTATTATAATTATTATTACTATTATTAATATCTAGAGGGAAGCACCAAACCCAAAAGGTTGTACAGTACTGTCACAATTTAAGTGACTCATGTATAGGGCTTATATATTTAGGTTCAAATACTTTACTTTGGGAACAATTTTTTTTTTCTACTCATTTTAATTTTTTTTATTACTAACCCCATAGCAACAAGATCTTGGAAATAACCACAAACAGCAAATGAGGTGTGCCTGAATAAGCTTTATGAAGGCAAAGTGAGGAAAATATCTGAACTAGATGACATTTATGTAGCAAGTATGTCAAGAGAACCACTTTTTAATGAACATGTGGTTCTAATGGAGTAAAGCAAAAATTATGTCAAATGTTCATCAAAAATGTAACTTTAGAGACGTGTATTATTATTATTACTATTATCATCATCAATAAATGTGCTAAACGTGTAAGGGTCTGAGAGATGTGTTGATACTTAATTTATGAGGTAGGGTAAAGGCATTATGCTTAAGGAGTCATAGGAAGGTTCTCAAACTCCAAGTATTTCAGTACAAAGAGTTTTGACTGCAGTGAAAAAAGTGATTCATATTGAAATGCTGATTATTTGATGTTTCAACTTGGCAAGTAATATTTCTTGCATTATCTTTTTTTTTTTTTTATATGCACACGGAACAACAGAAATAAAAATTATTCAATATGTATGGACATATATGCAACACATTAGAAGCACAATATGTTTCCATAAACAATGATTCACTTATCCCCTTTTCAGTGATTAAAACATTTATTAAATAATGTAGTTTCCTTTTTTGATTATTTTACTAATATAGTACCTAACCATGTCCATAAATTTTAACTACCCATCTAAAAAAAAATCACTTTTAAGTAGTACACTCCTGGTAAAGACTACAGAAGACACATTCACACAATTCATTCATTCTACTCACCAAAAGACATTAACATTTAATTCTGATAATCTTCAATATATACAAATGACAACACTAGTTGCTGGTATGAATGGCATATCATATACAATCAATGATGATTTAATTCATCTTTTAATACAATGCATCAGCTGAGCCAGACTGAATTTCCAAACTGACTTTCTCAGCCAAGGTAAAAATCAAAGTACTTACTTTAAGCACACATTAAAGTTATTAAGAACTGATGGTTGATGAGGATCTTTATTATAAAGATCACAGCATATTTTGTAGAGATGATACACTTGAATGAAGACCAAAAGGACCCACAACCAAGATTACACATTAAAATTAGTCTGATGTATACTGAAGCCCAATAATCCACTCAAATTAAACAATATCACCAATCACACTTTGTTCAGCTACAACTCCCATGCTTTACATATGTATCCATTCCAAGCAAAGCACAGGGAAAAACCAGAGAAACATTCTACATGCCAGTAATATACCATCCTCAAGTAGCTGCTCATTAGTGTCTCTGAACACAGCTCTTACAATGGAGAATTATCACATGGCTGAGATTCAATGAGACAGTCTGCACACAACTTGGTTTGCAGAGTCTTACAATATAGACTAAATAAATAATATATTTATATATATTACATCGTTATCTGAAGTCTTAAAATTATTGTTTAATATTTACATCCATTAGCTCCTAAACCATAACAACAAAATATTTGAGCCATATGAAATGAAATCCACATCTATCAAGGCAGCTTTTAAGATCTAAGAAAATAGAATATAAAATTTTGCCATGATAAAAACAATGCCCTGCAGCAAAATGCATAGGCATTCAAGACTATTATTCATACATAAGACTGGATAATGCATTAAGACTAAGCATATCCAAAAAAACAGAAAAAGGTACTCTCAACAAAAGAAGACATTATTTACAAGTGTTAACCACTCTTAATACCTCTAACCACACAACCACTGTCTCAATTTCTAGTACACAGTGACCATCACAGATGCTAAGCCATACATAAAATTACATTATAATTGTATATCATATTTTCCAACAAAACACACAGCTGCATCTCTCCTGCACTGCTTTACATTGGACTTTTATTCAAATACCATTCTGCAAACTAAGTAATGTGGTATCATTTTGTTTAAATAAAAATAAAAAATTTATGAACAGCATATATAATGGTAGATCCCAATAGAACACTATTTTTTAAGTGCATACAGTAGGTATCAAATCTTTGTTTTATGCTAATATTGCATTCCATCAAAATTAATCACACAATCCCATGCCTAAAACTCAAGGTTCCAATTAAAAATTCTGTAACTACAATACAAAATATACAACCCTGCTTAAAATGTAGGACTGCATACAAACTATGTAGAGACAATAGATATCTAATTTCATTTTCAAAATCTTTCTTTCCTGTATCACTAAAATATATTTTTCCGAATGAGCAGTTGGTGTTTGATCTGTGAAGTGTTTCAAAAGCATCACTAAATACAATTCCACGACCTTTACAGACCATAATGGAATTGATTCCTACCGCAAAAACAAAATATTAAAAGAGTTTGATCTATGCTGTCTCCTTCAATAATGAGCTCAGGTAAAAAGAACATAAACACACATTATACATATCTTTCTTTCAACACACTGGCCTTCTCCCACCGAGGCAGGGTGACCCCTCCCCCCCCCCCAAAAAAAAACTTTCACCATCATTCACGCATAATCATTGTCTTTGCAAAAGTGCGCAGATACTACAGTTCAGATGTCACTCCAAAGAGCAAATACCCCAAAACCCTCCTTTAAAGTGTAGGCATTGTACTTCCTACCTCCAGGACTCAAGTCTGGCTAACTGGTTTTCCTGAATCCCTTCACAAAATATTACCCTGCCCACACTCCAACAGCTTGTCAAGTCACCCTGCCTTGGTGGCATATGGCCAGTGTGTTAAAAAAGAAAAATATATACTTTCCAGTAAAAGTAGGACTTAGACAGGGATGTGTAATGTCACCATGGATGTCTGACATATTTATAGATGGGGGTTGCAAAAAAAGTAAATGCTAGGGTGTTGGGGGGAGGGGTGGGATTAAATTATTGGGAATCAAATACAAAATGGGAGTTGACACAGTTACTTTTTGCCAATGATACTGTGCTTTTGGGAGATTCTAAAGAGAAGCTGCAAAAGTTAGTGGACAAGTTTGGGAGGGTGTGTAAAGGTAGAAAGTTGAAAGTAAACGTAGATAAGAATAAGATGACGAGGGTATCAAATGATTTAGGCAAACAAAGCTTGGATATCACATTGGAGGGAGTATGGAAGTGAATGTGTTCAGATATTTGGGAGTAGACTTGTCAGCAGATGGGGTTATGAAGGATGAGGTAAATCACAGAACTGATAAAGGAAAAAGAGTGGGTGGTTAACAGAGGCATCTGTGGAGACAACATTACCCATGGAGGCAAAAAAGGGAATGTATGAGAGTATAATAGTACCAACACTTATATGGGTGTGAAGCATGGATTGTAAATGCTTCAGCAAAGAGGAGGCTAAGGGCAATGTGTGGTGTAAATATTATGCAGAGAACCTGTAGTGTGGAAATTAAGAGGAAGTGTGTAGTTACTAAAGTATTATTCAGAGGACTGAGGAGGGGTTGTTGTTGAGGTGGTTTGGTCATTTATAGAGGATGGAGCAAAATCAGATGACTCAGAGGGTGTATGAATCTGTTGTGGAGGGGTAGGGGTCATCCTAGGAAAGGATGGAGGGAGGGGGTAAAAGAGGTTGAGTGTGCAAGGGACATGTACATATAGCAGGCATGTGTGAGCATATTAGATAGGAGTGAGTGGAGACAAATGGTTTCTGGGACTTGACGAGCTGTTGAAGTGTGAGCAGGGTAATATTTTGTGAAGGGAGTCAGGGAAACCAGTTGGCCAGATCTGAGTCTTGGAGGTGGGAAGTACAATGCCTGCACTTTAAAGGTGGGGTTTGGGGCATTCGCTGTTTAGTGACATCTGAACTGTCGTATACATACATACATACATACACACTGGGCAAACTAACAATGGAAGTATTAAATATTACTTTAAAGTTACAATAAAATATAATTATACTTAGTAACTTCTTTTAATCTATTTTCCTATACCATTCATTTTCATATAACATGAATCCCATTTACCAAGTGTAAATATTAGACTACCATATACTGTATACTCATAACACTGGTATAAAGGAGCTCACTTCATCTGGTTCACCATCATCAGAAGCACTACAGAAAATATTTAAAGGCATACCAGACAGTACTTTAGCAACATGATCCATCAATTTCCACACAACCACCTCAATAATGCACTGTAAAACTTGATCTAATAACACCACATCTTTTTATCTGGGACCTTAAATCTTGTATATAATTATGATACTCACAGCTTCTGTGTCAACTGTAGAATACTAATACATGAATACATTATATTCAACCACTCATACTTTGTAGCAATTATTTTTCCACCACAAATAGCCACACAAGAAAAGTATTTATATCAGTTTAAATAAACACACGTCCACGATCTCATAAAGATCACATACCAAATAAATTTAAAGACAACAAGAAAATTAAAATCCTTAGCACCTACTGGTATGGGAAGCTCCTGCCACCACTCCAACAGTAAGATGACCCTGTATGCTGGTATGTACATCATGCAGCACTCCACCAGTTTTCACCAACACATGTGAAACATATCCTCTTAACTACCATAAACATGCACACACAAACATACATGAAGCAACTGTGTACATCCATTATAATGACACACACATACAAAACAACAATGTCCATCATTTATACAGATACACACAATGCCAATATGTACATCTTTGACACTGATGCACACACATAATAACAATGTATATTCTTTATACTTATACACTGAATTAACAGTACATACCTTATGCGAGGGACATACATGCAATAACAATGCACAACCAGCAGAATTCAGGGTAACCAAATACAGAAATGTGTGTAGCTAGCTTTGCCATTTTCAACCACCTCCCTAAATATATATGTAAAAGGGCCAAATAAATGAAGATTGCAAATTAAGTCTTAAAACAGAGAATAAAGAGTAATCCCAATAAAATGAACATTATGTTAGGTAAGAGGACACAAGTGCAACTAATGTGACATTTTATTGCAGCAACGTTTCACTCTCCAGGAGCTTTATCAAGCTTTATCAAGGTAATGGCTTGATAAATCTCCTTGAGAGTGAAATGTTGCCACAATAAAATGTCACATTAGTTGCACTTGTGTCCTTTTACCTAACAGATTGTTGGCAATTCTACTAACATTAATACAAAATGAACATTGAATATATGTGAATCAAAACAGCCTACTAGATTGATAGTGTTCCACAGAAGCATTATCCTGGATTCTTGGATAGAGAAAAAATTGTATATGCATTTCTTAGTAACAGTTCTGGTCAGCTAAAGTTCAGTTCTTGGTAGTCTCCTTCATATTCTCATTCTCTCTCTCTCTCATAATCTCATTCTTCATCTAATATTCTCATTCTCTCTCTCTCTCTCATAATCTCTCATTCTTCATCTAATTTTCATTCTCTCATTCTTTCTCTAATTCTCATTCTTCCATTCTCATTTTTTCTCTCCTTCTCTTTCTCACTCATTCTCTTACATTATCCTTTCAATAAACACTTTTCAAAGACACCATTTCCTTACTTGTGACTACAATTCCACATTTCCTGCTTATAAGTGAATAATTGCAATTACTTTAAAAAAAAATTCTCACATTCTTGTTTCTAAGTGTAAGGGGTGATTACTTTTATAACAGACATACCTGCATCTACAATTCTTTAATAAACGATCATCAGTGGCAGCAACAAGGTGGTAGGGGCTTCGGGGGTGGGGGTTCAGCTCCCAAATTTTTTTCTCAAACCCCCCATAGCCCCCTCAATAAAACAGAAATAACACTGACCACCCTCCCCCCAAAATTTCCTAGCACCCCCCAGTATAGAAATTCTGGCACTGTGCCTGCAAATGATACAGGCTCTTTGAACATTAATTTTTTTTTTTTTTCAACAAGTCGGCCGTCTCCCACCGAGGCAGGGTGACCCAAAAAAGAAAGAAAATCCCCAAAACGAAAATACTTTCATCATCATTCAACACTTTCACCACACTCACACATTATCACTGCTTTTGCAGAGGTCCTCAGAATACAACAGTTTAGAAGCATATACGTATAAAAATACACAACATATCCCTCCAAACTGCCAATATCCCAAACCCCTCCTTTAAAGTGCAGGCATTGTACTTCCCATTTCCAGGACTCAAGTCCGACTATATGAAAATAACCGGTTTCCCTGAATCCCTTCACTAAATATTACTCTGCTCACACTCCAACAGATCGTCAGGTCCCAAGTATCATTCGTCTTCATTCACTCCTATCTAACACGCTCATGTTAGATAGGAGTGAATGGAGACGAATGATACTTGGGACCTGACGATCTGTTGGAGTGTGAGCAGGGTAACATTGAACATTAATATCTGAAATATATGTATTTGCAACCCTCTTCCTCAAGGCTGGAAAATTCCAAGATGAAACAAAGCCATCAAGGATACAAGTAAACTGATAAATCACCACAAAGTATATCTGAAAATTTTTTTTTCTTTTAAATTCATAGAATTTAATTATTTTACGATCTTGCAAATATGATAAACCAAAGTTAAGCTTAATACCAAACCAAATGAATCTAATAAAACAAGTACATGCCAGCTGTACTTACAATACCATCAATAATACAAGAGTTGCCAATAAAACTTAGCAATCTCCTGAATCTCCGATAAAAAGCTTATCACACATTTGTCCAACCACTAGCAATATAAGTGAAGTATCTGGTATGAAGCCTTTCCTTTCTTTCTGCAGCTTGTGTATTATAAATTAAGGAGTTTGGCTGAAAATGGCTAATACCTAGCAACAATACATCTGAAGTTCAGTACTGTGTATATATTGGAGGAGGGTGGCGAGACAGATGTTATATACAAGTGTCAGGAGAATGGCTGGAATATGGCTGCTTTCCTCTTGTTGTTTTATTTTTGTTGACATCTCCCTTGGCAAGTGTTATAGGATCACTGCTACATTTGCGTGGATTACCAAGGGTCACAAGAGTGCTGGCAATTGCTAAACCACCTGAAATTATAGAGAAAAATTTATTATTAATTATATTTTAACACACTGGTCATCTCCCACCAAGGCAGGGTAACCCAAAACAAAAACAGTTACTATTATTTATGCTACCACTGTTTTACTAGAGGTGCAAAGATACTACAGTTTACACATCCCTCTAAACAGCAAATATCCCAAACCCCTCCTTGAGAGTGCAAGCACTGTACTTCCCACCTCCAGGACTCAAGTCCAGCTAACTGGTTTTCCTGATTCCCTTCACATAATGTTACCTTCACATCTCCACTTTATGTTCAACTGAATACAAAGTCACACTGCCAATAGCAATGAATAAAAGACAGGTGCAGAGCAAGTTTTTGTTGGGACAACTTTTTGTTCCATGCAGAGCATCAAGTCAATGACTGACTTGACGAAGCAAAACCTTTTCTTTTTAACATTGCCATCTCCCACCAAGGTATGGCAACTCAAAAAAAAAAAAAAAAAGGAGAGGAAACATATTCACAATCATTTATTCTATCACTGTCCTGAGAAAAAGTGTGTGACATCACAGTTCAGTTTGCCCTCTGAACCAGTGGCACAGCCAAGGGGGAGGGCACTATGGGGGCTAAAGACCCCCCCAGATCCATACTTTTTTTTAACGGCTAATCCTCACTGTATTATACTAAACAGTGACCACAAAGCCAAGGAAGTTTAAGAAATTTCACATACATACTGAAAACTGTATATTTAAAACTTATTTCTTTGATTTTTAAGTTCCCCTTCCTTCCCTAACAGAAATCCTGGCTTAAGCTCATTTTGCCCCATATTAAAATCATGGCAGTGCCACTGCTCTGAACTGCAACATCCTCGTCCCTTTATTGCAGCATATCTCAAAGAGTTTTGTTTTTAACTCAACAGCTGTCTTTCACCAAAGCAGGATGACCCAAAGAAAACATGTTCACCATCATTTACTCAGTTGGCATCTTTCTAAAAGTGCTGACATTCCAATAAGATTACCCTCCACCTGCAACATCCCCACCAACCACCTTCAGAGTGCAGCAGTGCCTGCCTGACATTAGAGGTAAAGGGGTGGTTAAAGTTTTAAATAAAGATGCAGAAGTAAGGAAGAGCATAAAGGCAAAAGAATGAAGTCTTACATGATACATTCAATCAATTTCCATTAAAAGATTGAAGAAAATAATAGCATATAACCTAGATAACAATATAGTGTCATGGATTAATAATTTTAAATAGGGGCTGAGAACCTACCAGGGTGTCCTATAGGGGTGTAAGGTTCTCCACCCGTTGGCAGCTGCACCAGGAGGGAGAGGACGGCGGCACGATTTCCACAACATGGTTCCAGAGCAATGGGACTAGGATTTACCTAGCAAAAAAACAGTGTAACACTTTAATTCTTATTGAAGAATTTCACCTTCATATTTTAAAATTGTCTAAGAATAATTTGCATACCTGTAACTTTCTCCATTTTTTTTTGTAATTATTCACTAATTCATGAAGGTTCATACATAACAGTTAAGGAAAACACAACTACATCAATTCTTTTTTATATTTCATACAGACATCTTCACTCCAGTTGATAAGCACTATGAACACAGAGGCAATTTTTTTTTTTTTTAAACAAGTCGGCCGTCTCCCACCGAGGCAGGGTGACCCAAAAAGAAAGAAAATCCCCAAAAAGAAAATATTTTCATCATCATTCAACACTTTCACCTCACTCACACATAATCACTGTTTTTGCTGAGGTGCTCAGAACACAACAGTTTAGAAGCATATACGTATAAAGATACACAACATATCCCTCCAAACTGCAAATATCCCGAAACCCCTCCTTTAGAGTGCAGGCATTGTACTTCCCATTTCCAGGACTTAAGTCCGGCTATATAAAAATAACCGGTTTCCCTGAATCCCTTCACTAAATATTACCCTGCTCACACTCCAACAGATCGTCAGGTCACAAATACCATTCGTCTCCATTCACTCCTATCGAACACGCTTGTGCACGCCTGCTGGAAGTCCAAGCCCCTCGCCCACAAAACCTCCCTTACCCCTTCCTTCCAACCTTTTCGAGGATGACCCCTACCCCACCTTCCTTCTCCTACAGATTTAAATGCTCTCCATGTCATTCTACTTTGATCCATTCTCTCTAAATGACCAAACCACCTCAACAACCCCTCTTCAGCCCTCTAATACTTTTATTAACTCCACACCTCCTAATTTCCACACTCCAAATTTCCTGCATAATATTTACATAACACAATGCCCTTAGACAGGACATCTCCACTGCCTCCAACCGCTTCCTCGCTGCTGCATTCACAACCCAAGCTTCACACCCATATAAGAGTGTTGGTACTACTATACTTTCATACATTCGCTTCTTTGCCTCCATAGATAACGTTTTTTGACTCCACATATACCTTAACGCACCACTCATCATTTTTCCCTCATCAATTCTATGATTAACCTCATCCTTCATAAATCCATCTGCCGACACATTAACTCCCAAGTACAGTGGACCCCCGCATACCGTACGCATCGCATAACGTTCAATCCGCATACCGCTTGCTTTTTTCGCAAAAATTTTGCCTCGCATACCGCTCAAAATCCCGCTCACCGCTCTTCGTTCGAGACGCGTCCAATGTGCGCCCTTAGCCAGCTCACATGTGCCGCCGGTGGCATTGTTTACCAGCCAGCCTCCGCGGTAACATCCAAGCATACAATCGGAACATTTCGTATTATTACAGTGTTTTTGGTGATTTTATCTGCAAAATAAGTGACCATGGGCCCCAAGAAAGCTTCTAGTGCCAACCCTACAGCAATAAGGGTGAGAATTACTATAGAGATGAAGAAAAAGATCATTGATAAGTATGAAAGTGGAGTGTGTGTCTCCGAGCTGGCCAGGTTGTATAATAAACCCCAATTAACCATCGCTACTATTGGTGGTACAGCTGCTGCTGCTGCACTGTCAGCTGCTGCTGCTGCTGTACCACCGTCAGCTGCTGCTGTAGTACCGTCTGCTGCTGCTGTAGCATCGTCTGCTGCTGCTGTAGCACTGTCAGCTGCTGCTGTAGTACCGTCTGCTGCTGTTGTACCACCGTCAGCTGCTGCTGCAGCACTGTCAGCTGCTGCTGCTGCTGCTGCTGCTGTACCACCGTCAGCTGCTGCTGTAGTACCGTCTGCTGCTGCTGTAGCATCGTCTGCTGCTGCTGTAGCACTGTCAGTTGCTGCTGTAGTACAGTCTGCTGCTGCTGTACCACCGTCAGCTGCTGCTGCTGCTGCTGCTGCTGCAGCACTGTCAGCTGCTGCTGCTGCTGTACCACCGTCAGCTGCTGCTGTAGTACCGTCTGCTGCTGCTGTAGCATCGTCTGCTGCTGCTGTAGCACTGTCAGCTGCTGCTGCTGCTGTAGCACTGTCAGCTGCTGCTGCTGCTGCTGTAGCACCGTTGTTGGTGTGGCTTACTGAGAATACCAAGAAACAATTAACCCCAGAGGATTTGCCACCCAGGATAACCCAAAAAAGTCAGTGTCATCGAAGACTGTCTAACTTATTTCCATTGGGGTCCTTAATCTTGTCTCCCAGGATGCAACCCATACCAGTCGACTAACACCCAGGTGAACAGGAAAAAATGCCTGGAACTAGTGCTCATATTGGTGAATTTAAAGCCAGCAAAGGTTGGTTTGAGAGATTTAAGAATCGTAGTGGCATACACAGTGTGATAAGGCCTGTTCTGGAAGAAAATGCCAAACAGGACCTACAGTACTCAGGAGGAAAAGGCACTCCCAGGACACAGTGTCTCATCAGTCATTGCTGCATCTTCAATAAAGGTGTCATTTATTCTTCATTTAGTAGAGTAGTACATGCACAATATATATTGTGCATGTACTACTCTACTATTGTGCATGTATCCTTCTCTTTGTGTGTAGGAAAATGTATATTTCATGTGGTAAAAAAAATTTTTTCATACTTTTGGGTGTCTTGCACAGATTAATTTGATTTCCATTATTTCTTATGGGGAAAATTCATTCGCATACCGATCATTTCGCATAACAATCAGCCCTCTTGCACGGATTAAAGTCGCTATGCGGGGGTCCACTGTATCTGAAAACATTCACTTCTTCCATACTCCTCCTCCCCAATTTGATATCCAATTTTTCTTAATTTAAATCATTTGATACCCTCATCACCTTACTCTTTTCTATGTTCACTTTCAACTTTCTACCTTTACACACACTCCCAAACTCATCCACTAATCTTTGCAATTTTTCTTTAGAATCTCCCATAAGCACAGTATCATCAGCAAAAAGTAACTGTGTCAATTCCCATTTTGTATTTGATTCCCCATAATTTAATCCCACCCCTTTCCTGAACACCCTAGCATTTACTTCTTTTACAACCCCATCTATAAATATATTAAACAACCATGGTGACATTACACATCCCTGTCTAAGACCTACTTTTACCGGGAAGTAGTCTCCCTCTCTTCTACACACTCTAACCTGACTTGTTAATTTTTTTTTTTTTCAACAAGTCGGCCGTTTCCCACCGAGGCAGGGTGACCCAAAAAAAAAAAAAGAAAGAAAATCCCCAAAAAGAAAATACTTTCATCATCATTCAACACTTTCACCACACTCGCACATCATCACTGTTTTTGCAGAGGTGCTCAGAATACAACAGTCCAGAAGCATACACATATAAAGACACACAACATATCCCTCCAAACTGCCAATATCAACTTGTTAATACTGTAATGTAATCTTATTGATTATTCTTTCTACAGTAATTAATTTTCATAGAAAAAATCAGGACTGATTTAAAGAAACAATAAAAAAAAGACAAAAATTCTGCTGGCCACTTTTTCCAAACTTATTCCTAATAATATCACTATATAACCCTGAAGTAAATTTACACAGATACAGTAAAGTCATAGGAAATATACTGATAGCACATTTTTAGTAAAACAATATTCCAATTTCTTTTCAATAAATATTACTAAGCAGTTTTGTCAGAACATTCATGTCATGTCCCTGATAACTGCCATGCAGTAATGTCAATAATAATAAAATTATTGGCATCCCCATATGTTATGCTTGTTCTCTTTTCTCACAGGCATAATCTATCAAACATTAAATTTTGAAACAGAGCAAAAATTCAAAATTTAACTACAAAAACATCTCTAATTCAGAATTTTCTAAATTAAACAAATTATATGAAGTATTCAGTAATATAAATTCTTAAAACAGATTTTTCCAAATTTAAAAATGATCTCTAATTCTAATTTTTTCCAAATGAAAAATACTTTTCAAAAATTCTAAATTTGAAATTTTCTCTCTCATTCACATTTTTTGTTTTAAAAATCAGAGAAATTTCAGATTCCTATTATTTGAAACATTCTATATTTTGGACAACCCCAAGCAAAAATGTTCAAATAAAGAGATTTCACTATAAAAAAAAAGTACAACAGAATTACAATGGGTGCATACCTTCTTCTTTATTTTGTGTGTGCCAAGACTGTCAAGTAAATCAGAAGACAGATTATCTGGCAATGTTGCATTTGGGATGATTTTATTGGCACTGTTATTACAGGATTTCGTATTATCTTTGTTTGTGGCCTTTGTGATGGCATTGGAAGAAAGACAAGGAATAACAGTGGCATTTGGCATGGCCCCATTACTTCCTGTCACACAGCAATTGTTGGTGACTGTTGTGGTTACAGTTGTGTTAGTTATGGAAGCAGTTGTAGTAGATGTGTCACTAGTTTCCAAAACCTCAGCGGCCGGGCCTCTTGGATACAGCTCCAGAAGAATGGGGCGGAATGGACGAGATGCCATAGCCTCCATCTCAACCAGTAGACGCTGAAGGAATTAAGTGGTAAAATTATAAATTGCTGCTAACAATGCATGTATACATTAAATAAGTCATCTTATTTATGTGATTAGATAATGAGAAGGTAGATCATAAAGATATTCTGAAGAGCATCTAACTGAAAATGTGTGTGCACCATAGGCATAATAAGAGAACACTAAGGCAACATCCACACCCCAAGACACCTCAACTTGCTACCAACAGATATCAGAAATATTGCTGGAACCTATGTACAGTGGAACCTTGGTTTTCGTGATTAATCCATTTGAAAAAGTCTGACGAAAACCGAATCGAACGAAAACTGAAGCAACATTTCCCACAAGAAATAATGTAAATCCAATTAATCTGTTCCAGACACCCAAATATTAACAAAATATACAATTTTTAGAGAATAACTATAGTTTTACATACAGAAAACAATGAGAAATAAATATAAATGATTAATGAAAAGGATAAATGAACATTTAACATCACTTTTACCTTTACTGAAGACTCTTGTTGGCGTATAGAAGATGGTGAGGGAAGAGGGAGGAGGAGAGGTTATTGTTTGGAAGGGGAATCCCCGTCCATAAGGAATTCAGGTATCAAGGCCCTATCCAGGGTTACTTCCCTTCTTTGTCTTTTACTGGCACTAGGACCAGCTTGAGAGTCACTGGACCCCTGTCACACAAAAAATCTGTCCAGAGAGGTCTGTTTCTGGTGTGTCTTTAAGATTTACCTAAAATGGGACAAGGCACTGTCATTGAACATGTTGCACACATGGCTTGCAAGAGTTTCGTTATGGTGATATTTCTCCACAAAACTTTCCAACTCATTCCACTCTGCACACATGTCCTTAATCACTGAAGAAGAACCATTCTCCCCTCTCTCTTCCTCCTCTTCCAAAGCAATTTTCCTAGCACTGCGATCTGTTGCTGTTCCAGTTGAAGGTTTTGCAGCTCTTCAGTGGTTAGCTCTTCCCTGTGGTCGTCCACCAACTCTTCCATATCCTGGCCATTCACATTAAACCCCATGGATTTCCCCAACGACACAACAGATTCCACAACAGGCGTAGGGGCGTCAGGGTCAGCCTCAAACCCTTCAAAATCACAAACGCATGGGATGCTTTGTGTGGGCACTCGATTCTGAGAAATGAGTGGCAGAATCATGCAGGTAGGCGGAGGAGTTTGGTACAGACCATTTACAACTGTACAAAAACTGAAAGGATGTATGAAAACTGGGACAAAATTTTGACAAAAAAAAGTCGTTGAAAACCAAATCGTACGAAACTGAACCACTATCTCTATAAAGTGCCATGTCAACCAGGTTGTGATAGCTATTTTGTCAACACAGGCTGAAAAGAGGCAATCACCATAAGAAGCATGTCAGTCAGATGAAAACTCATAGGTATAACCAAAAGTATAACCACCCAGGGAGGTACTACTGTCCTGCCAAGCGAGTGTTAAACGAAAGTCTGTAATTGTTTTACATGATGGTAGGATTGCTGGTGTCTTTTGTCTGTCTCATAAATATACAAGATTACAGGTACATCTTGCTACTTCTACTTACACTTAGGTCACACTACACATACATGTACATGTTTATTTATACACACTCATCTGAGTTTTCCTTGATTTTATCTTAATAGTTCTTGGTCTTATTACTTTTCCTTTTATATCCATGGGGAAGTGGAATAAGAATCTTTCCTCCTTAAGCTATGCGTGTTGTAAAAGTCAACTAAAATGCCGGGAACAATGGGCTAGTAACCCCTTTTCCTGTAATAATTACTAAAAAGAATAAGAAGAAGAACCGGTTATTCTTAAATACCAGTTATTTTTATATTACCGGTTATTTTTATATAGCCGGACGTTACAAAACTCGTCTTCTTAACCTTCTCCAATGGTATGGTAGAGTGTTAAGGTAGCATTCTTGTTGAACATATGGCCTGTTTACGGTTTTGCAACAATAACTTAAGAATTCAGGATTACGAAACAAATAACTAAAACTTAAAATCTTTACTAGTAGAGTTTTAGCTTAATGTATGATATGTTATGATTAACATAAAATAAGGAGTTTAACTCTTACATTTCTCTTGGTATGTACTAGTACATTGATATGAATAAATGAACCTCTTGAGGTTGAGCTTTGTACTAAAATCACAAATAATATGCACCTATAATGGTTATTAAGACTTAACCACAAAGTAACTTATAATGGTTATAAAGACTTATCTGAACTATCAATTCAGAGTATACAAGAACTCGTAAGTGACGGACTTAGTCTCATTTCCATCCAACGTTACTAAGAATAGCTTAGACCACAAATTAACATAAAGGCCGACAAGGCTTATTCAGTCACCTGAAAGATTAATTTACCAGAGTATAAATAACTCAAAAGTGACAAGCTTAAGAAAGGAACTCAATCACGAAAGAAAAACGACCACAAGAGAGAACTTGACATGTCTCTTATGAGAGGTCAATGAGTGAGGTATGCTCCCTTGGCTATGCAAGCCCAGACTAGAAGTGGGAATGCTAGTCAGAGTGAGTGTGAAGGACATACTCTCCGCGAGTGCTGTAAAACTACTCAGAGCAAGGGTTGTGAACCTTCTCTGAGCAGGTGCGGTAAACCTACTGACGGTACCACTGAGTGGTAAGCCAATGTCAGGTTGGTCACGTGACTGAGGGAGACCTCAGTACCTGAACTGCTAACCGGCACTTAAACCTAGTGGTTTCCCACTACATGGAAATAACATTAAAGCATAATAAAACATATAATACATACAATATTAGCATTAATATTTGCCTTAACATATATACATGTATTATAAAATAAAGGGGCTTATCCAATTATAAAATAAAACGGGTATGGCCCTACTCGTAACACCGGACTTGAGTTCTGGATATGGAAAGTACAATGCCTGCACTTTAAAGGACGGGTTTGGGGGGATATGTTGTGTATCTTTATACGTACATGCTTCTAAACTGTTGTATTCTGAGCACCTCTGCAAAAACAGTGATTATGTGTGAGTGAGGTGAAAGCACTGAATGATGATGAAAGTATTTTCTTTTTGGGGATTTTCTTTCTTTTTTGGGTCACCCTGCCTCGGTGGGAGACGGCCAACTTGTTAAAAAAAAAAGAAAAAATACATGACATTTATTTTTATTCTAAATCATAGATTACATTTATTTATTATATTCTCAAACATGATATCTCCACTGGAGGCAGTGAAGATGTCATTTTTGAAAGCAATGTGTGGTGTAAACAGAATACATGGAATAAGGAGCATAGATATTAGAAGATAGTGTGGGGTTACCAAAAGTATAATTCAGAGGACTAAAAAGAAATTATTGAGGCAATTTGGGCATTCAGACAGGATGGAACAAAATGGGATGATTAAGAGGGTATATAAATTAGGTATCCATAGGGAAGTGGAGAACAATCCTTCCTCTGCAAGTCACACATGTCATAAGAGGAGCCTAAAATGCCAGGAGCAAGGGGCTAGCAACCCCTTCTTCAGTATAAATTACTAAATGAAAAAGAAGAAATACTGTGTGTTTCTTCATTTCTAGGTCACCCTGCTTCAGTGGGAGATAGCCGTTGTGTTAAAAAAATAATAATAAATCATGGTGTAAGGAAGGAGGGACAGGGGTCATCCCAGGTAGGGTTGGAGAGAGAAAGAGTAATGGAGGGTTGGAGTGGTAGAGGCTTGAACATCTAACAGGCTTGTGTGAACATGTTTGATCAGAGTGAGTGTCATGCTGTTAGAATGAAACTTAAACATTTATTAAAGGATTCAGAGTAACCATATAGCAAAATTTCGTTCCTGGAAATGAGAAGTACATGCACTGTATTGTAACATCCTCTGTACAGTAACATCCTCACTGCTCCTTTAGGAGCAGTGAGGATGTTACAGTTCAGAGGGAGATCAAATGAACTCTGATATCAGCACACTTCTGGCAAGACAGATATTAAATGAATGATGGTGAATGTGTTTCTTTTTGGTGGGAGATGACCAGTATTAAAAATATTAAAAAGAGTTAAACCCCTTGGGACCACACAGAGTCGAAGAGCTTATTCATTTAATTTATACAAAGCAAAATGCTAGGCCCCTCAGTCAGATTAAGTCTCTCTCCAGCACAACCCTCCATCCCTGCTTTTCTTCCACCCACCCACACCCACACACCCACCCACACACCAAACAGAAAAAGGTGACCCAGCTTTGGAAAAACTTAGAGGATAGGGTATGGCTATCACAAGCAAATGAATTGTAACTTGTCTAGATCAACACACAAAGAAAGCATTCAGTCTAAGAAATACAAACAAGCAGAGAAATAGAAATAAACAGAAAAAAGAATAAGGCATAAGACAAAGGTAAAAAAGAAAAATAAATTGTTCAGTGAAGAGGCAAAGTTGGATAAAGCAAACATGCAGCTAACCATCAAGCTGCACTTCCACAAACATGCAGCTAACCATCAAGCTGCACTTCCACAAACATGCAGCTAACCATCAAGCTACACTTCCACAAACATGCAGCTAACCATCAAGCTACACTTTCACAAACATGCAGCTAACCATAGAGTTGCACTTCCACAAACATGCAGCTAACCATCGAGTTGCACTTCCACAAACATGCAGCTAACCATCAAGCTGAATGTCCACAAACATGCAGCTAACCATCAAGCTGCACTTCCACAAACATGCAGCTAACCATCAAGCTGCACTTCTACAAACATGCAGCTAACCATAAAGAATTTAATACACTAAGATGAAATTATATTTCTTTGGAATATTTAAGTTAAATTTAAAACCTTCACTGTGTAAAACTTCACTTTTACCTGTCTCCTGGTGTAGATGTCATATTTCTGTTTAATTTTCCATAATATTGCAGCCAAAGTTAACAACACCAAAAAGCATCTGCAAGAAAAAGATAATTCTTATTAATATAATTTATGTTTGATAATAGAACACTTTGTACATAATATTTTGTACATAATATTTGTACATAATATTTGAGGTATATGTGGAGACAAAAAACGTTATCTATGGAGGCAAAGAAGGGAATGTATGAAAGTATAGTAGTACCAACACTCTTATATGGGTGTGAAGCTTGGGTTGTGAATGCTGCAGCAAGGTGGTGGTTGGAGGCAGTGGAGATGTCCTGTCTAAGGGCAATGTGTGGTGTAAATATTATGCAGAAAATTCGGAGAAAGTGTGGAGTTAATAAAAGTATTAGTCAGACAGCTGAAGAGGGGTTGTTGAGGTGGTATGGTAATTTAGAGAGAATGGATCAAAGTAGAATGACATGGAGAGCGTATAAATCTGTAGGGGAAGGAAGGCGGGGTAGGGGTCGTCCTCGAAAAGGTTGGAAGGGATAAGGGAGGTTTTGTGGGCGAGGGGCTCGGACTTCCAGCAGGCGTGCGTGAGCGTGTTTGATAGGAATGAATGGAGACGAATGGTATTTGTGACCTGACGATCTGTTGGAGTGTGAGCAGGGTAATATTTAGTGAAGGGATTCAGGGAAACCGGTTATTTTTATATAGCCGGACTTGAGTCCTGGAAATGGGAAGTACAATGCCTGCACTCTAAAGGAAGGGTTTCGGGATATTAGCAGTTTGGAGGGATATGTTGTGTATCTTTATACGTATATGCTTCTAAACTGTTTTGTTCTGAGCACCTCTGCAAAAACAGTGATTATGTATGAGTGAGGTGAAAGTGTTGAATGATGATGAAAGTATTTTCTTTTGGGGGATTTTCTTTCTTTTTGGGTTACCCTGCCTCGGTGGGAGATGGCCGACTTGTTAAAAAAAAAAAAATCTATATATTTATATTTACAGTGCCTGCACTCTAAAGGGGTGGGGGATATTTGTTGTTTGGAGGAACATCTGAACCATCATATCTACATCCCTCTGGCAAGTTAGTGATAGTGTGAATGACAGCGACAGTGTTTCCTTTTCGGATCACCTTACCTCGGTGGGAAATGGCCAGTGTGTTAAAAAGAAACATTTATTTATTTATTTAGCTATTTGTATTTTGTGATAAGCAGAAGTGTGTGTGAGGCTGGGTTCCTGCTGTTATGTTTACACACCTTACTTCCCTCTCTTCTTCCCTTCCACCATTCCCTCCCTTCCAGTGGCATTATTATAACCAATGATGTTTTGTCATGAAAATATTGCTGATATTTATCATAAGAATGATAGCAAATATGGGCATGGGGCTAGTAACCCCTTCTCCAGTATATATTACTAAATTTAAAAAGAAACACTTTTTTCTTTTAGGGCCACCCTGCCTTGGTGGGATACAGCCAATTTGTTGAAAGGAAAAAAGATAGGAAATATATCAAGCAAGCCAATTTTAATTCAATCTTCTGCACAACATCGTTTCCTAATCATTCTTTTAGTTATCCATGAATGCAAGATTGTATAGTTACCTTAAGAACAAATTTCCATTCACTGCATTTTTAAAAATTACATCACAAACATTAAATATATTTATACTAATATTATTTCTGCATTTTTCACATTACTGATACCATAAACACTACACTGCACAAGAATACTTACAAAGAAAATATAGAAAAAAATTGAATTAGATCCAGTTTAGGATGTTGAGAGAAGGAGACGACAATTTCTATAGGTGGTGTGAAGTTGTAGACGTAGACATGAAAGGTAGTGTTGTTATCTGCTGAGCCAAAAGTGTATTCCGAAGCACTGAACCTCTGTCTAATCCGTGTACCAGTGAAGTTCCGGATTATCCACGATTCGTGACTCCGAGCTGAAATCAATAACATTAATGCAGTTGCAAAATTTACTATAAGGTTTATCAAGTTTTCTTTAAATTAACACTTATCATATTACATACATGAGTTTGCACCTATGGATAACTAGAAAATAATGATACAGGACCTACAGCTTTGTAATGAATGAAACATGATCAGTAATACATGAAGCATAACAGGCACATTAAACCCACTTCCAGGTCTATTACATAATAAGATCTGTGACTTGCAGTGTGGCACAGGCAGAACAGAAACTACATGAAAAAAGCCACATTCCAAGATACATGGTCTCATGAAGAATATATGATAAAATGTAGCCTATCTTTTGATAAGCATGGAAAATAACAGCAGCCATAATTTGTTGTTAATTTGTGTATGTTCACAGTGGCCATTATGAACTCACAGGGCACAGAAGAATTACACAAGCAGTTATTAAACTGCCATATAAACACTCAAGGCTAAGACCATCCAATCACATTCATGACAATTAAAGTTCACAAGAATAACCAAGTACTCAGACTGATCACCTTTCATGCAACTATTTTGTTCAACCTTAACTTCATCACATGTAGATACAGTTTACACGTCAGCAAAATTGATAAGAAGGACAATGCTAACACTATTTAAATCATGTAAAACAAATTAGATTTTTTGCCAAAATAGTGGTAATCATACTACAATACTTCAAATACCAATACCAACAAACAGCTCATTGAAAAAATAATCAATATTGCCAGGTACATGCACTTGCATCTTGCATGTCTGAGTTCATAGGTTCAAACCTAAAGCATTAATGCTTACACTGATTTTGATAAATGAACCAGGTGTATAAATCTTCAGTGAAAGAAAGGTAGGATAGGGGTTATACTAGAAAACATGACTCTATGACCGCGGGTTCAATCCTGGCCGGGGGGTATGGTTTATATTAGAAAAGTTTGGATGGGGTAAAGGAGGTTTTGTGGGTGAGAAGGGCTTGGACATCCAGCAGGTATGCGTGAGCATGTTAGATAAGAGTGGAGGCAAATGGTTTTTGGGACTTAACAAGCTGTTGGAGTATGTGTGAGCAAGGTAACATTTTGTGAAGGGATTCAGGGAAACTGGTTAGCCAGACTTGAATTCTGGAGGTGGGAAATACAGTGCCTGCACTCTGAAGGAGGGGTGGGGATATATGCAGTATGGAGGGGCACCTGAACTGTAGTACCAGCACACCTCTGGCAAGACACTTGGTGTGAATAATGGTGGAAGTGTTTCTTTTTTTTTTTATGTCATCCTACCTTGGTGGGAGACAGCCAGTGTGTTAAAGAAGTATTTAAGTCAAGGCACACTGCCAGGAGCAAGGAAATAACAGTTCCTATATATACAAGACTTTACTAGTGGAGTAAGAATGGAACTTTACAGTGAAGAAATCTGGAAGCTTTCATTTTTATCACATTAACTGTTCATTACATTCATTTATATGCACATCAAAAAGCAATTAGGCACACCATATTAGTGTTAAAGGAAGAGTAACCACAATGAATCAATTCATCTATCTCATGTTGCTTCACTCACTAGTTTCTAACAGGAGACATTTGAGAATGCAACCACCCAGGGAGGTACTACCGTCCTGCCAGGTGAGTGTAAAACTGAAGCCTGTAATTGTTTTACATGATGGTAGGATTGCTGGTGTCTTTTTTTTTCTGTCTCATACATGTTCAAGATTTCAGATACGTCTTGCTACTTCTACTTACACATAGGTCACACTACACATACATGTACAAGCATATATATACACACCCCTTTGGGTTTTCTTCTATTTTCTTTCTAGTTCTTGTTCTTGTTTATTTCCTCTTACCTCCATGGGGAAGTGGAACAGAATTCTTCCTCTGTAAGCCATGTGTGCGAATGGTATGCAATACCGACAAAATGAGATTAAGACACACGTGCAACATCTGGGTTTCTTTATTGTAGACGTTTCGCCATCCAGTGGCTTTATCAATACAAATTCTAGGACATAACTTGAAGACAGTAGAACTATGTACAGAAGATGAGGTAATCAGTCCCTCAACCTAGGAGTAGGTGCGAAGAGCACCATAGTCGTGGAGATTCTGAAGCAGAAGAAAGGATCCCGGAGCTTATATAGTAACGTCAGGTGTAGCAGACGAGGGCATATTCACTGGTAGGCGGGATTCCCCAGTGGAAGTAGTCCTTCCCAAAGATGATGGGTTAGTTGTAGTAGTAGTTGTCGTAGTCGTGAAGGTTATGTACATGTCCTCAGAATTAAGATTCCATGATGTTGCAGTGTCTGACAACACAACTTGTCAGACACTGCAACATCATGGAATCTTAATTCTGAGGACATGTACATAACCTTCACGACTACGACAACTACTACTACAACTACTACTACAACTAACCCATCTCTTTGGGAAGGACCTACTTCCACTGGGGAATCCCGCCTACCAGTGAATATGCCCTCGTCTGCTACACCTGACGTTACTATATAAGCGCCAGGATCCTTTCTTCTGCTTCAGAATCTCCACGACTATGGTGCTCTTCGCACCTACTCCTAGGTTGAGGGACTGATTACCTCATCTTCTGTACATAGTTCTACTGTCTTCAAGTTATGTCCTAGAATTTGTATTGATAAAGCCACTGGATGGCGAAACGTCTACAATAAAGAAACCCAGATGTTGCACGTGTGTCTTAATCTCACTCTGTAAGCCATGCGTGTTGTAAGAGGCGACTAAAATGCCGGGAGCAAGGGGCTAGTAACCCCTTCTCCTGTATATATTACTAAATGTAAAAGGAGAAACTTTCGTTTTTCCTTTTGGGCCACCCCTGCCTTGGTGGGATACAGCCAGTGTGTTGAAAGAAAGAAAGAATTTGAGAATGCAATTTTACTTTGCATAAATCACATTTTTATTTAAAATATCAAAACTGTCTTACATATTATACTATTTAGAAGCAGAAATAAGATAAAACCAATTTTTTTTGTTGATACCAATACCATCAAAATTAGCCAATACCCATTGATAATGATACTTTGGTACACATGCAAAGCCTAACAAAATACATATAATACTGCTAGTGTATTGATACATCGAAGTTGCTTACTTGTTTTAGCTGATATCTTGATTTTTGTTGCCTTGGAGCAGTATATATCAAAGTCTGTGTCCACGTCACTCTTGGTGGGAACATTGAAGAAGTTGATTTGCCGGATATGACGATCTTCATGCTTGGAGAGGTTAAAAGTGAACTGGTAGTCAATCTGAAGATCATCTATAGAGATAAAATAGAGAAACACAAATAGGATATGATTTACTGATAAGAAGTTCAAAGTTTAAAAAATTTCCTTCAAATCTATTTCTACAACACTTCACGTGATAAACGGTTACCCGAGTACTGCAAACCAATTATAATTTCAAAGATTAATTTCTCATTAATTTTCTCATCAACAGTGATTATAAAAGTACTTCATAAATCCTCACATTTATTTCAACTTGAAGAACAAAAAGCCACAATACTTATGGCATTTCAGTCTGACTTGGACCATTTACAGTGCGTGACTTTGTAATGGTCCAAGTCAGTCCGAAGTAGTGTGCACAACTTTCCAGGTTTTGAAAATCCCTTATACAGTATGATGTGCATGATAACACATGGACAGAATAGCTAATACCAAGTAAAAGATCTGAGAACGTAACAAGGTTTCTCTAATCCCACGGTGAAGATGTGGTTGCAGAAGATTTAGTGAATATTACAGAAAGAAGACAAAAGGATGAGGAGAAGATAATACAGCTCATGAAATCTATGACAGTGAAGATGACAGCTGAACTGTTGTCTTGGGATGATAAGTTGAGGGCTAGAATGTATCCCCAAAATAGCCAACATATTAATTTCTCATTTACTAAGTAGCTCTTTGGGTCAATTTTTTAGAAATGTATCCCAATTGAAGATCAAGAGTTAAGTGTATATACTGAATGGGAATTTTGAGGTGGAGAATATGAAACAGACTTGATAGATTGCTGACAGATCGCTGCTAGATCTTGTCTCACCTACCGAAAGCAGGTGAGAAAAGATCTATCAGCGAGGAAAGGAGTACCCCAGATTTTACTGTTTTTTTTTTTTTTTTCAACAAGTCGGCCATCTCCCACCGAGGCAGGGTGACCCAAAAGGAAAGAAAATCCCCATAAAGAATATACTTTCATCATCATTCAACACTTTCACCTCACTCATACAAAAATCACTGTTTTTGCAGAAGCACCCAGATACAACAGTTCACAGGAAGGAAGAAGTAAGGGAGGTTTTGTGGGCAAAGGGCTTGGATTTCCAGCAAGCGTGCATGAGCGTGTTCGATAGGAGTGAATGGAGACAAATGGTATTTGGGACCTGACGATCTGTTGGAGTGTGAGCAGGGTAATATTTAGTGAAGGGATTCAGGGAAACCAGTTATTTTTATATAGCCGGACTTGAGTCCTGGAAATGGGAAGTACAATGCCTGCACTCTGAAGGAAGGGTTTCGGGATATTAGCAGTTTGGAGGGATATGTTGTGTCTCTTTATACGTATATGCTTCTAAACTGTTGTGTTCTGAGCACCTCTGCAAAAACAGTGATTATGTGTGAGTGAGGTGAAAGTGTTGAATGATGATGAAAGTATTTTCTTTTTGAGGATTTTCTTTCTTTTCGGGTCACCCTGCCTCGGTGGGAGACGGCCGACTTGTTAAAAAAAAATAAAAATATATAACATATCCCTCCAAACGGCCAATATCCCAAACCCCTCCTTGAAAGTGCAGTACTCAAGTCCAGCTATATAAAAACAACTGGTTTTCCTGAATCATTTCACTAAATATTACCTTGCTCACACTCCAACAGCTCGTCAGGTCCCAAAACTATTTGTCTCCATTCACTCCTATCTAACACGCTCACACACACTTGCTAGAAGTCCAAGCCCCTCACCTACAAAACCTCCTTTACCCTCTCCCTCCAACCTTTTCGAGGATGACCCCTACCCCGCCTTCCTTCCCTTACAGATTTATACGCTCTCCAAGTCATTCTACTTTGATCCATACTCTCTAAATGACCAAACCACCTCAACAACCCCTATTCAGCCCTCTGACTAAAGCTTTTATTAAGTCCACTCCTCCTAATTTCCACACGCCGAATTTTCTGCATAATATTTACACCACGCATCGCCCTTCGACAGGACATCTCCACTGCCTCCAACCGCCTCCTCACTGCTGCATTTACAACCCAAGCTTTACACCCATATAAGAGTTGGTACCACTATACTTTCATAACGTTTTTTTTTTGTCTCCACATATACCTCAACGCACCACTCACCTTTTTTCCTTCATCAATTCTATGGTTAGCCTCATCCTTCATAAACCCATCTACTGACACGTCAACTCCCAAATATCTGAAAAACATTCACTTCTTCCATACTCCCTCTCTAAAATGTGATATCCAATTTTTCTTTATCTAAATCATTTGACACCCTCATCACCTTACTCTCATCTATGTTCGCTTTCAACTTTCTACCTTTACACACCCTCCCAAACTCATCCACTAACCTTTGCAATTTTTCTTTAAAATCTCCCATAAGCACAGTATCATCAGCAAAAAGTAACTGTGTCAACTCCCATTTTGTATTTGATTCCCCATAATTTAATCCCACCCCCTCTCCTGAGCACCCTAGCATTTACTTCTTTTAAAACCCCATCTATAAATATATTAAACAACCATGGTGACATTACACATCCCTATCTAAGACCTACTTTTACTGGGAAATATTAATCTTCCTCTATTCTACACACCCTAACCTGAGCTTCACTATCCTCATAAAACTCTTTACAGCATTTAGTAACTTACTACCTATTCCATATACTTGCAACATCTGCCACATTGCTCCCCTATCCACTCTATCATATGCCTTTTCTTAATCCATAAATGCAATGAAAACTTCCCTACCTTTATCTAAATACTGTTCACATATATGCTTCAATGTAAACACTTGATCTACACATCCCCTATCCACTCTAAAGCCTCCTTGCTCATCCGCAATCCTACTCTCTGACTTGCCTCTAATTCTTTCAATAACAACCCTAACGTACGTTTTTCCTGGTATACTCAGTAGACTTATTCCCCTATAATTTTTACAGTCTCTTTTGTCCCCCTTCCCTTCATTTAAAGGAACTATACATGCTCTCTGCCAATCCCCATGCACTCACTCAACATTTCCCAAAATCTCACTCTCTCCTCTACACTTCTCTCTTCTCCAGGTGCGTAAACGCTTACTGTAACCCACTTTTCACATCCAACCCTTATTTTACTTCACATAATTTTTGAATACATTTATATTCCCTCTTTTCCTGCCATAACTTATCCATCAACATTATTACTACTCCTTCTTTATCTCTAACTCTATTTGAAACCCCTGACCTAATCTCATTTATTTCTCCCCACTGAAACTCTTTCTATCAATGTGCTGACTCACAGAAGCAGGATCCCTGCAGTGGTTCCCCAACATAGTTGTTTTGGGTGTCACAGCGTTCACAGTGATCACCGGTCACTCCTTTGGTGTGGCAGTTGCAACGACCAGATTCCCTGTTGCATGTGTCCCCATGTTCATTGCACATGCAAGCTGAAATAAAAGCCATTTAAAAAATAAAATAGATGTATATGTAATTATATAGCAGGATACAGTAAGACAAAACATCTACAAACACTCTTTTCTTTCAAGTGGTTGTGATTACCAATTTGCAAATGATTATTTCAAAATTACAGGCTAAAACTTAAGCTCATAGTGTTCTGTCTTGCAGGTGTCATAAAATTTTTATTCTACAACTCTATTTGTGAAGAAAAACTGTATAGTAGCCTTTTGCCACTGTATATTTTTTCACTTTACAACTGTGGCCAATTATTCTACCTATTCAAGCACAAAGAAATATTTATCTACTTTTTTGCTATTATTTCATGACCTTAAAAATGGTTATCCTCATAAACCATTAAATTTACTGTTGACACTGATCAAATTAACTCAACATTATTTCTAGTCCTTTTAACTGGTGAGAATAGCATGAATTTAGATTCAAAAAACAAAAAAAAATTACCAAATGTTTATTTCTATATACACTATAATCAGTCACTCCATGATAGTTAAATAGTGTATAGGTGAGGCATGGTATTTCAAAGTTGCAGCAAAATGGATGAAATGAGTCATGATGAATGTGTCTTTTACTTTGGTGAAAAAAAACAGTAAGTTAAAAAATATAAATTTACATCATCTTTGTATAAATTTCTATCACCCGGCCTTGGTGGGAGACAGCCAGTGTCTTAAAAAAATATTTGTATCTCATAGTATTAATACGAAACATTTCCAATGCTTTACTATGCATTTAAAACTTACGTTTACAAAGGCCACCATTAATGGGTCGTCCAAAAAACTTCTCAATACAATGCTGGCAATGAGATCCAGCTGTATTATTGGAACATGGTAAAATGCACTGGCTGCCATTTTCACATTTACTGTGACCATTGCAGTTGCATACTGGAAAAAACATGCATACTTATAAGATATAGTGTATATCAAAGCTGTCAAAAACAAACTGCAATCTATTTTAAACTTTAAGTAAACATTGCATTTGTAACTCATAAAATCTTTCATGGAAAAGATACAACTGAATTTCAAATTACAACTATAAAAAAGATGATACTTTAATATATAATCTATATAAAAAAGGTTAATCTTTTGTGGTAATTTAAATATTATGATCCAGCAAGGATTTTGTAAAGAAATACCTAAAACTGATGCTGAGCACAAACACTTCTTAATAAGGTTTACATATACAAATATACAACTTTTACATATTAGGATTACATATTAAGATTCAGAAAGTATGAATTTAGTAAATACTTTCTTATTAGCATTTTTAATGTTAGAGCTGCACTCAAATTTCTGGACTCTTGAGCTTCCCCATTTAAAGACTTATATACAGGAAACTCCTCCAATACACACTCACAGGGGCATTCTGTAAAGAACCAGTTTTGTTTGGGACATTTGCTTCTCTGCATGATGCCTGTAACTGGATTGATGGGCCCACGCTGTCCTCCCTCCACACACACCCCAATGCCAGTGCCACTTCCATCATCACACCATCCACATGCCACATCTGCCTGGCAGTCTTTGCAGGTCTGGTGAATGCTACATCTACTGACACCTGTGGAAAATGACACATGTCAGCTGTAAAGAAAAGGTGTATTGTATATACAATTACATTCTGTATTCCTCTGGACAAATACCACCTCACCCTATATAATAGGAAATAGAGTACTGATGGAAGTGATGATTATAACTACACTAAACTTGACTGCTTACCTTTTCATAAAATAAATCAATTATTCAATACAAGCACATATCTTTCCATTACACTCTTAGATCTAGAATAGATCTGACCCAAAAATTTACATCCTAAAATTTGTATCCTTGTATTATCCTCATATTATTTATATCCTCATATCATACTCTGATTTAACCCTTTCAGGGTTTCGGCCATACTAGTACGGCTTAAGCCCCAGGGTTTTTGACGTACTAGTACGCCTAAATTCTAGAGCCCTCAAATCTAGTGAGAGAAAGCTGGTAGGCCTACAAATGAAAGAATGGGTCTATGTGGTTAGTGTGTGCAGTATAAAAAAAAATCCTGCAGCACACAGTGCATAATGAGAAAAAAAAACTTTGACAGTGTTTTTGGATTAAAACAGCGACTTTGCACTGCATTTTCGTATGGTATTTATGATGGTATTCTAGTTTTCCTGGTCTCATTTTATAGAATGGAAGACATATTACAGAAATTGAGATGATTTTGACTGGTTTTACAATGAAAAGTACCTTGAAATTGAGCTCAAATTAGCAGAAATGTTCGATTTTTACCAAAGTTCAAAAGTAAACAAATCATGCCAAGCGTCCAATACACATCAACTGGTGAGTCTAATATTCTTTCACAAGTGCGCTGATATTATTTATACCATTTCTACACTAATGCAGTAGTCCGCGTAACAGTAAATCTTCTATTTTTGTAAGAATAAAAATTCAAAGTGGAAAGCCAAAGAAATATAAGAGGGGCCTGGGATTGTGACTAATGAACAGAAAACTTGTTATTTTAGTGCCAGGAATGTCTTTCTTGTTTATTCTGGACCCTATTCGGAAATTGGCATTTTTTGAAGTTTGTGTGAAATTGGCAAAATTGATAAACTCTGACCACTTTATTGGATAGTTGAAATCGGTAAATGGGTGGTTTCTTGTACTCATTCGATAGAAAAAAATGGAGGTCTAGCGAAATAGTTATGATTTTTGTTGACGAGTACACTGAAATTGGCCGAAAATAGAGCTCAAAGTGGGCAAAATCGCCGATGCGTAAACATCGAGACCGCTAACTTCATGAGAGTATACAGTGGACCCCCGCATAGCGAACTTAATCCGTGCAAGAGGGCTGGTCGTTATGCGAAATGTTCGCTATGCGAATTAATTTTCCCCATAAGAAATAATGGAAATAAAATTAATCCGTGCAAGACACCCAAAAGTATGAAAAAAAAAATTTTTTACCACAAAAAAATGTTAATTTTAGTACACACAAACTGAAAAAGGCATGCACAATTACATGACACTTACTTTTATTGAAGATCTGGTGATGATTGATGGGATGGGAGGAGGGGAGAGAGAGTGTTAGTGTTTAGAAGGGGAATCCCCTTCCATTAGGACTTGAGGTAGCAAGTCCTTTTCCGGGGTTACTTCCCTTCTTCTTTTAATGCCACTAGGACCAGCTTCAGAGTCACTGGACCTCTGTCGCACAACAAATCTGTCCATAGAGCTCTGTACCTCCCGTTCCTTTACGATTTGTCTAAAATGGGCCATAACATTGTCATTGAAATAGTCACCAGCACGGCTTGCAACAGCTGTGTCAGGGTGATTTTCATCCATAAAGGTTTGCAGTTCAACCCACTGTGCACACATTTCCTTAATTTTTGAAGTAGGCACAATGGATTCCACAACTGGCATAGGCTTCTCAGGGTTAGCCCCAAACCCTTCAAAATCCTTCTTAATTTCCATACTAATTCTCACCCTTTTTACCACAGGGTTGGCACTAGAAGCTTTCTTGGGGCCCATGGTCACTTATTTTCCAGAAACAGCACCGAAAACACTGTAATAATACGAAATATTCCGAGTGTATGCTTGAATGTTACCTCGGAGGCTGGCTGGTAAACAATGGACGCGTCTCGGACGAAGGTCGCTGAGCGGGTTTTTGTCCACTATGCGGGGCAAAATTTTGGCGAACAAAGCGTTCGCTATGCGGATTGTTCGCTATGCAAGGCGTTCGCTATGCGGGGGTCCACTGTAATTCCGTACGTTTTCCATCAAATTTCACACTTTTGGTGTCATTATGACCAGGAAAAGATTCTCTATCTTTTCATAAGAAAAAATAATTTTTTTTTTCTGAAATTTGGGCGACCCTGAGAACAAGTCTCGGAGGGGGCCTAGAGACCCTGAAAGGGTTAATGTTCTTGTTTAAGCACATTAGATTAAAGTGAGTGGAGCAAGTGGTTTTTGTGACCTGACATACTGTTGGAGTGTGAGCAAGGTAGCATTTATGAAAAGTTTCAAGGAAACTTGTTTGCTGCAATTCAGTACTTGAAGTGGGATGTACCATGCCTGCACATGGGCAAGTTGTTGCATATCAATAAGCCATCTGAGCTGTGATGGCAGTACACTATTGGCAAGACAAAGATTGAATAAATAATGGTAAATGAGTTTGTGTGTGTTTTTTGAGGTCACCCCACCTCGGTTGGAGACAGCCAGTTTTAAAAAGAAATTATAATATATAAAAATGTATTTTTTGTTAATATTTTTGGGTGTCTGGAATGGTTTAATTGGATTTACATTATTTCTCATGGGAAATATTAACAAAAAATACATTTTATAGAGAATAACAATAGTTTTGCATACAGAAAAGGGACTACTAAATTCGAGGGTCCACTGTATTTTGATACAACAAGAACATGTAGCAAGGAGTATAATGTAAATGATTAAACTAAAAACAGATACAAAATTCATAATACATCATTTTGAATGCTCAGTTACCTGGGACAAAACAGTGTAGTACTACCATTAATACCAATTAGTAGGTCTCAGGTACTTGTAGAAAATACATATATAACATTCAGAAGATTAACAGACATTATTCTACATATACTGTTTGATAAAAATGATAGCAATACAGAAAAAATCCCATCTCACCCTACCTTTTTTTTGACATAATCAGAAAAACTTTTTTTCCTTAGCTATACATTGTGTTAGTTTACTGCATAAGCTTCAGATCAAAATCTATATTATAAAAAAAGTTGCATTTGAGATATTCTACAACAAACAAAAGACAAGCGCCTCATGATGCAGCAGCATCTTCCTACCTGGCTCTACATCCATGCACCTCTTGGATTCAGTGGTCCATTCTCTGCACTGTCCATATGGGAAACTAACTAAATATGAATTGTTGTTGACACACCGCTGTTGATTGAAGCACCACATACATGACCCCTGAAGATTAAATATATAGCAAATTATTAGCTTGCAAATTATTAGCTTGCAAATTATTAGCTTGCAATTTTCACAGCACAAATAGCACAGCTATTACAAAAATATTACAGAAATGTAATATAAAGACAACTAAGTACAATGCCTGCACTTTAAAGGAGGGGTTTAGGATATTGGCAGTTTGGAGAGATATGTTGTGTATCTTTATATGTGTATGCTTCTAAACTGTTGTATTCTGAGCACCTCTGCAAAAGCAGTGATAATGCGAGTGTGGTGAAAGTGTTGAATGATGATGAAAGTATTTTCTTTTTGGGGATTTTCTTTCTTTTTGGGTCACCCTGCCTCGGTGGGAGACGGCTGACTTGTTGAAAAAAAAAAAAAAAAAAAAAGCAATTATAAAGGAATTTGTACTATTCCCCACAATCCAAGGATATCTACACATTGCTGTGGTGAGAAGCAGTTGCATCACAGCCAGGGATGTGTGCATTTCCAATTTCAATGTATTCCATCTATGATGAATGAATGGTTGATAAAGGCTAAGTTCTTTATGGAGATGAGGACAGATTACAGACTAGAACCTATCATATGTGTTTGCCTTATTCCTATATGACTGACAAGCAATAGATAGTTCTAACACAGTTCTAACAGTCTAAGATCACTCAAGACTTCAAGAAAAATTTTACCATGTGTGATCCTCAAGTCAAATATTTTCATTTCCACCACCACAAAGTAACATGCTAGTTTTCTGTTACTATATTTTTGTGTCAAAAACTTTTTTTTTGGGGTGGAGGGGCCTCTACTATCTATGAAAATAAGCTGCAGTACTCTATCTACACATAACTTTAAATAGAATATATGCAGCTAGCAAAAGCTGCTGCATTTTTTTTTTACAGATGTGGGTTTCAGTCACACAAGCCTTTTGGATTTAACTAAAGAATTTTTCACTTTCAACAAGATATTAAAAAATTACTCAATCTTGGGTTTACTTTGTGTAGTCTCACCTTCAAAGACCCAATAATCAAGAGCACAAAGTGCAGTCCTTCAGAGATGGATTTAAAAATGTTTATTAACCCTTTGACTGTCGACAGGCCCAATCCTGAAGTGTCTCCTGGTGTCGCAAAATGTTTGAAAAAAAAAAAAAATTATATTTTCTTATGAAAATGTTAAGATTATTTTTATGATTGTTCTAGTCCAAAAAAAAAAATTTCCCATCAGTACTTACCAAGATATAGAGGCGTGAAGTTTGCCGAAAAATATCTGTGAACGGCAAAAGCGGCGACTGCCGCTCACCCGGTAAACTTTGATTTACTTGTATTCGATGGTTTCTTGTTTTTTTCACTATTTTATTTTTTCACATAACTTTTGTGGCCTGTGAGACCAAATTATTGTGCAATGTTCAAATATACACTCGATGAATGTAACACAATTATAGCAAAAACACTCGTATCATTATAATGTTGCTAAAATTTGTTTACACAAACAATATAAAAAAAATTTTATTACAATTGTTCTATAATATATATGCCTATGTACCATCACTGGACACTTTTCTAGAACTGCTGCAGCTTGTGGAATTATTTGAAACATGGGTATAAGCACAATGGTGTTTTACACTCCTCACACATAAAATGAGTGTCTCTGCGTTCTTGTGGGCGTTTTGTGGTATGTCCACAGACAAAACACCTCTTCTGAGCATTTTTCTTGAGAGCAGTAGCAGGCAGTGGTATGGGGTAGTGATCACCAGGCCTCAGACGAGAGGACATGTGTTGATAATTTAGTGGGCGCTGGTCTATTGCAGGTGTTGTTCCTTGGTACTTGAATATTATTTGTCTGATGACTGACAAACAAAATTCACCATATTTGGGTTTGTTCTTGGTCTTCAACTTATACATATTATAAGCATTCAGCATGGAAATGTCAAGAAGTTGGAAAAACAGTTTTATGTACCACTTATAACTCTTGCAAACACAGTCAGCAAACCCAATCTGCATGTCACATTTATCCACTAAGCGCATATTGAGGTTGTAATCCATCACAGCTGCAGGTTTTACAATGGGTTCATTGGTCTCTCTATTCTGCTTGCCAGTGTCTACCATTTTGTGTCAGTTAACTGATTTCAGCAGTGTGACATCACATTTGTCATGCCACCGAAATGCCATGATGTCATTGGCAGCAAACATCTGCACTTCACCTCTACAACTGCCAGCATCGAACCTAGGCATATGTTTACGATTTCCACGCACTGTGCCACACACATCTGTCATGTTCACTCGCAAGAAATCACTGAGTATAGGGCTTGTGTACCAGTTGTCAGTATATAAAATATGCCCTTTGCAAGATATGGCTCCATCATTGTTCAAACCACATCACGAGAGATACCCAGTAACTTTCTGGTATCTTCCAATGTTTTACCGCCAGTGTACACAATTATATCCAAAACCAGCCCAGTTTTGCAATCACACAGAACAAATAACTTTATACCAAAGCATTTCCTCTTGCTTGGTATATACTGTTTGAATGAGTCTTCCTTTGAATAAAATCAAAGACTCATCAACAATAAGCTTCCTGAAGGGATGAAAATACATACAGCACTTTTGTTTCAGGGACATAAACACACGTCTGATCTTATATAACCTGTCGCTTCTGTCAGGCCTTGTTGTGTCTGAAAAGTGTAACATACATAACAGTAACACAAATCTATTCACTGGTATAACGTCACTGAAAGCAGGGGATGAAATCAGGCGGTCTGTCGTCCAGTATGTGTTGACACTGTGCTTATACACATGTGGCATAAGCATTATTGTGGCAAAGAACAGATACATCTCTGCCACAGTTGTGTCCTTCCACTGGTGTAGGCGTGAACTTGGTGAAATAATAGTGTTTGCCATGGTGTACTCAAAGTATGTATTGCTTTCCCTGACAATAATGTCCATCAGGGGTTCATCGAAGAAAAACTGAAAGCATTCCAGTTCAGTGGCATTGTTCCCAAGTGTACATGATGGCCATATTCCACTTTGTCCTCCATCAAAGTCATGGGGACTGGGAACAAATTCGTCACCTTGCTACCAATCCCAGATGCAGTCAGCTGGTGGGTTCTGGATATTGTAATGTGGCTGTGGTTGTGCAGGTTGTGGTTGTTGTGGGAGTGTGGGGTCGGGTGAGGCTGGTTGTAGTTGTGCAGTCAGCAGCATGGGTAGCAGCATGGCCCGCTGCTGGTGTCACATAACCCGTGCCACCATCACTATCACCACCACCACCTGCTGCCTCACTCGCATCATTGATATCCATCGTAACAATATCATCATCTTCACTATCAGGTCGTGGTGTAGGGCCACGAGATGTGCTCCTCTTGGAAGAGCATATGGCACACTACCAGACCGCATGCGACGTCGTATATACTGCCGCTTCACTGGGGAATATTCACCCTCACTGTCACAACTAGAACTGCTTTCAATAACCTTGAAATCACTATCACTTACACTGCTCACATCTGAGTCTTGTACACAGGCAAATAGTTTCCTCTTTCGCCCTGGTACAGGTGAACATGAACGAGCCAACCCAGCACCAGAGGTGGAAGGTTGTGGGTCATCTGGGTTTTCATCACTAATTACATTATCCTGGGCACTTTTTTCGGTCACACCTGCTTCAAAACCAGGGAATTCACTTTCACTGACACTTTCATCGCTGTTTGAGCTATCACTTGGGAACAAAAGACCTCCAATCCACCGAGGAGCAGGCATGGTGAAAATGGACTACCAAGATGGCGTTCCCACAATGCACCGCTGAGTCCCAGATTTTTTTCACAGGGTGCACACCCACCACTGAGACCCATTCTCTCTCATGTAGGCCTACCAGCCCTCTCCCGCTTGATTTGAAGCCGCTAGAATTTATGCGTATATACGTCAAACACGGTATCTCCCATGACGTATATATACGACCGCGACAGTCAAGGGGTTAAAATACTATAGTTGACCTTTTTTCCCTGTGATGTTCTAAATTACAATATTTATGAATGTTCTACATTAGTTAACATGCTTTCCATCTTGAAAACAGCAGAAGAAATGGAATGGCTAGAGCTTGAACTTATGGACTGATACTTGACACACACAACTCCACCAACAGTTCTACTTCTTGTAGCCACTGGTCTCATTAGTTTAAATCCCTACAATATTGAGGATCCTTGATCTGTATTGCAAATGGGAATTCAGCTACTGTTACACAGAAACAATGGATAAATAAGAACATAAATTAGACAGGAATTTTGTTTAGAAATTACATATATTTTAATATCATTTACCCGTATTACCATTTGTTTCTCACAGAACAAAAGACAATGATTCTTTCTTCCACCAACAGCTGAACTCTGATTTAGCAGTGTATTTAAATACATAAAATTTAAAATACATAATGTTGATGAAGAAAGGGAGGCTGTAATTTCATGCACTGGCCAGGGAGGTATAACATCTTTTAGGAGTGAAGAGCAGGATGTGAGTGTGGGGGAGGTGTGCGAAGCATTACATAGAATGAAAGGGGGTAAAGCAGCTGGAACTGATGGGATCATGACAGAAATGTTAAAAGCAGGGGGATATATAGTGTTGGAGTGGTTGGCATTTTTTGTTTAATAAATGTATGAAAGAGGGGAGGGTACCTAGGGAGTGGCAGAGAGCATGTATAGTTGATTTATATAAAGAGAAGGGGGACAAGAGAGATTGTAAAAAAAATTTTTTTATTATCACACTGGCCGATTCCCACCAAGGCAGGGTGGCCCAAAAAAGAAAAACTTTCACCATCATTCACTCCATCACTGTCTTGCCAGAAGGGTGCTTTACACTACAGTTTTTAAACTGCAACATTAACACCCCTCCTTCAGAGTGCAGGCACTGTACTTCCCATCTCCAGGACTCAAGTCCGGCCTGCCGGTTTCCCTGAACCCCTTCATAAATGTTACTTTGCTCACACTCCAACAGCACATCAAGTATAAAAACCATTTGTCTCCATTCACT